TTGGATGTATGGGACCTCTTGCTTGCGACGCTGTGTCAGGATCTATCTTGATCCCTGTGCGTTGATTCTGCTCGATGTGATGAGACGTATGAAAACACGAAATCCTCGCGCGATACGTAATCGTTCAACTCGCTGGATAAGAGCGGATTTCCTTCTTCAAGCGGACAATCCTGTAGTTTGTTCTCCTTGATCACTGGTATGCTTGGATCGCTGTAGTTCGGCCGAAATGACAGTTATCTCACGTACTGGTACCTGTAACTGAAGATGGGATTTCTTCCCGCCCACTTTTTAAGGCTTTGCTCTGATAGTGTGGCTAGAGGCTGATTCTTAGCACCCTTCTCTGTTGCAGGTGTTAACTCAATACACTTTACTCAATACACTTCAAGTCAATCAACTTGATGTTTACCTGATATGATCTCGAGATCGGTAGTAGTACTCGAGATGGCTTTTGCTTTTCAGTGTTAGCTATTAATACTGCAGCTTATTGGGAGTAATTTGGTTTAGATTAAGCTGAAAAGCAAAAGTGAGGATTTCTGGTGGTGCATAGCAATTCTTGTGATTGAATTGGATATAAGGACCCCCGTAGCACTTTAGACCTAAACTCCCTTGGTTCCTTCATGATGAATTTACATGCGAACGGACTAATGATTAATACACGAGTCAATAGTAAAGAGGTGTCAGGTATGTTTCCTCCAACACCCAAGACCCACAGTCAAGGAACATGTATGCGGGGCAAGAAGGCCGCTCCACTGAGAGCTGTGCCGCCGCTGAAATCGGCCTGGTGGCAAAGCCACGAATATTTGTCTACATATGAAGAAAAACAAACAACAGCTATGATAGCAACCAGCACCGCCGACACCTACCTAGTCTGGCCATGCTGATGAAGCAGGCAACCCCTTTGCCTACCTTTGGTCCAGCAACACAACCAACCATGTGCAAGTCCCTCCACAGTTGAGATCCCCATCTCACATTGTGTTCCACTAGCAGCGATGCTGAGTGGCCCATGAATGTTCCGTTCATGGGGAGAGTATGTATTGTATGTTAGTTAGTAACTAATCGTATATCGTGGCAACCAATGAGAGCGAATCCATACGCCACTCGGGGGAGCGATAACTTTAAGGAGCGAGAGCTCTGGATTCCCCTGGGATAGCTCCAACAGCTATGCTGGCCTACAACTCCAGCATGCGCAGTTGGCTTATCTCCAGCAAAGCAGCAAGAAAGATGTCCTTTCTCATAGTTAAGAAAATATACGAAAGATTGAGACCGATCCTGATTAGCTTGTAGCCCCTTTGATACCGCAGCAGTTGATACCTATCCTGTTGAGGCCGGGCAGAAGCAGTAGGAGGTAGCAGATAGTACTGTTCCAGACTGCCACTGCACGATTGAATAACAATGAAGGCCCCCAGCTCCTGAGGAAGCTGGCCCAAAGGTCCAGCAGAGAGCTCTGCTGGCCCTCTGTCTGACTGACAGGGCCAAGTCCTTGGCTTGGTGCCTACTGGAGGTGTTGAATACTCCTGAGGCACGACAAGGCTCCCTGAACTGCCTGACTACCGCTGTCCCTGAGGAAGGGTTTCAGCGAGGCCCAGTCCACTACTTGAGTATTGGAACTGAACCTTCAAGAAACTTATTGGTCCTTACAAGGCTCTCGAAAAACAGAAACGCTTCATGCGTCGTAAGATGCGCAAGCCTAGCGAGATGACAACTCGTGCCTACATCAACAACCTCACTCGGATGAATACCGATGAGCTTCCACGTTTACCACCTTTCGGTGCCAATCAACAGTTGCGATAACTTTTAGGAGCGAGAGCTCTGGATCCCGTCAGAGATAGCTCCAACAGCTATGCTGGCCTACAGCTCCAGCACCCACAGCTGGCTTATCTCCAGCCAAAGCAGCAAGAAAGGATCGTCCTTTCCATCATAGTTAAGAAAATAGTCCTAAGAATTGAATGTATGAATTGAATACCATCTCCATAGACCTGTAGCTCCCTTGTTCCTTTGCAGTAGATACCTATCCTGTTGAGGCTGAGCAGTGGCATTGAGAGGTAAGCTGATAGCATTCGCTAGGCTGCCCAGCATCGTGATAGAATAACATCGGTACCAGCTCCAGGAGCTGGAAACTCTGTAAGCAGAGGAGGCCCTGTGGCCATCCTCATCTCTTGTGGATCTACCCTGATCCTTTCAAGAAGTTATTGGATTAACAGTCGCAGGAACTGTCATCATCATCGCGTGGGAGTACTGTCTCAACTCGTGGTCGTCTGTCAACGGAGGACTGCTTCTTGGAACGAGGTCGTCTGACTTCAGGCATCTTCCGAGTCCTTTTCTCCCCATCCTTCGTTGGGTCAGAGGGGCGGGTGGGACGGGAACGGGAGCGAGTACTTGGAGGCTTCCCACGAAGCTGGCCCCGGGTTTGGACTCCAAAACAATGGCGTAAGTCCTCAGTGTCGGAGTCAGAATCATGACCAGAGGAGGCTGAGTCTTCAGCACCAGAGGAGTCGTCATAGGGGGACATAAGGTCGGGGACACGGGCAAAGCACTGTCGGAGGTCTTCAACGTTAGGGTCATCTTCAAGGTCAGAATCATCGTCGGAGCTGGAGTCATAATGATGGCACTGGCGGGATAAGAGGGCGGGGACATCATCAGCACTGGCAGGGACCAGATCGTCTTGAACAAGGTTAGCCATGGCGGCGATGATACCGCGACGATCAATGGACTGCTTGGGGGTGGGACGAGATGGAGTCAGGGCATCGTCATCCATAGTCTGGAGTCGGCCCAGGCTGTCTAAAGGGGAATCTGCATCGTCGAGGACGGTAGTACTTTGGGTGTCATACCAATCATCGGATGGGACCGAATCAAGGCACGAGGGGTCCCACGGGTGTGGGCTAGTCAAATCTATCAAAGGGATGGAGTCGTCTTCCATCTCAGCATCAGTGGGGGGCCGCCAGTCTACATACGGAAGTCCATTGCGCATGGCCATGGGGACTCTGAAACCATTGGGTGTGACAAAGTAGGGGTCCACTCCAGTCACGGTCTTGGCTTTCTCGTGAACACAACAACCAAAGTGCTCCATCTGACCGGGACAAGCAATGGTACGGCCGTCATACATGACGGCACCCTGGTGGATGCGACCAAGGATGGGACCATGATCACTTCGCATGAACACAACCGCAGTAGCCAACTGGAGGTTTCGAACTGTGTGATTGTCAATACCATTCAAATCAATGAATGTACCAGATAAATTCACAACACGTACATCATTGCCAAGGATAAATCCATTGGCGCCGCGATCCATCAAGGCGCACCAAAGTCGTTTGCGGTGATGGATGAAGGCTGAGTAGTACGATACACAAGGGTGGTTGGGAACACCAGGACCTGAGGAGGGGATAGGGGTTCCAACCCAGTCATCATCGGCGGAAGGTAGCGCCGCTGTGGGCTGACTGTGTGCTACCCCGCTGTCATTTGTCTCTGAAGAGGTTCCTCGGCTAGACCAGCTTGAGACAAAAGCTAGTCGCCGAGCCAAAAATCCGCTCTATCAGGGCCAGGCTTGGTAGGATGAGCAGCACCAGAGGCAATGTCATCAACGTTGTCCAGCATGCGGTGGAATGCATGGTGGGCGGATCGATTGCTCGGGTGGCTAGCAAGGTTACCTTCGCGTGGCTTGGGTTTGGTGCCCATCATTCGAGCTGGGTGTGCCGGGTGCAGGTCATTTGACTTGGACTGGGGTGCCGAGTGGGATGGACCAGCTCCAGGCTTGGCTTGTGCTTGATTGGCAAGATAGGTGCGAAAACAATAAGTCTCCTGTTCACTCGGAGACTCCAGATGTCCGTAACGGGACCAGTGCTGCTTCTTCTTTCGAGTGAATTGGCTGGCTGCTTTTCGTCACCGTAAAGTCGTCAACAAGAGCTACTAGTAGTAGCTTGTAGCTCCGTCGCTGAAGATGTTGTCGGAATATAGGTCCTTTCGAAGGCAATGGTGGTGCTGTTGGCCTTGTAGTTGTATTGGTAAATGGTCAACAAGAAGGTTCCTGTCACTGTGGTGGTGGCTGGAACTATCAAAATCGATCAGAAGGTTGCTGACTTAGGACTTCAAAAGTAGGCTTGAAATCAGCACCAAATTCCAATGAAATCAACTGAAGGCCAATATATTGTAGTGTAATTCGAAGAGATCCTTTTCTCGTCAAGGAGGTCTCTTCTTCCCTTTTAAGAGAACTGCGTGCAGATCTATGCGACTGTAACTAATCGTATATCGTGGCATTCCCATGAGAGCGGATCCATACGCACTCGTGGGGAGCGATAACTTTTAGGAGCGAGAGCTCTGGATCCCGTCAGAGATAGCTCCAACAGCTATGCTGGCCTACAGCTCCAGCACCCACAGCTGGCTTATCTCCAGCCAAAGCAGCAAGAAAGGATCGTCCTTTCCATCATAGTTAAGAAAATAGTCCTAAGAATTGAATGTATGAATTGAATACCATCTCCATAGACCTGTAGCTCCCTTGTTCCTTTGCAGTAGATACCTATCCTGTTGAGGCTGAGCAGTGGCATTGAGAGGTAAGCTGATAGCATTCGCTAGGCTGCCCAGCATCATGATAGAATAACATCGGTACCAGCTCCAGGAGCTGGAAACTCTGTAAGCAGAGGAGGCCCTGTGGCCATCCTCATCTCTTGTGGATCTACCCTGATCCTTTCAAGAAGTTATTGAGTTGAACCAGGATGAATTCATTGACATCATCTGTCATGGCATTCCTCGTTCCTGGATGCGCAAGATGGACGAACACGACTTCGATCCTTTCACTGCCGAGATGACGGCTCTCATTGGATTCTGTGAGCGCATGGAATCTGCTGAAGACTTTGACAAAGGCAGCGATGCCAAGCAAGCTACTTCGAAGAAGAACAGCAGCAAGAAGTACAAGTCTAGCCGCAACAACAACCACTCCTCCAAGGAACGAAGGAAAGTGGTGCGACTACCACGAGTCCAGCACCCACGATACTGCTGACTGCATGACTCTGAAGAAACTCAAGTCCGAGTCCTCGTCTGGTAACGATAGCAAGCCAGCGTACAACAAGAACAAGACTTGGAAACGTAAGTCTGACGATGCCAAGTCCTACACCAAGAAGGAACTTTCTGTCCTTATGAAGAAAGTCTCCACCGCTGCGGTCAAGGCCGATCGCAAGAAGAAAGGCGAATGCAACCATGTTGCCAAGCGCAAGTCGGATGACTCTGATGACGAGGATAACTCCTCTGTCGGGTCCCTGAACATGATGGACAAGAAAATGGCGCAGTCGACAAGGCTCTTGCCGACTTCGATTTCAATCAATTCGGATGGAGAAATCTCCGCTGAGGATTAGGCCAGGATGAATGATTCAACGGAACCATGTCCGATTTCTCATACCTAAGTGATGAAGATATCTCACTAACTAGTAAACAAGAATTGTTTGCAACTGTGAAGTCTACGCAAATTAGATGATTGCCTAGAAGCTGCTCAATTAGATTCTGACGATCTAATTTTAGCATTGTTAACCCGTCCGTGGCCAACCAACTCGTAACGTCGCAAGAAAGAACTCAACCTATCGTCTATGTAGATTTAAAGACGAGAAAAAGGGAAACCAAAACCGTTACAACTTCCGTTGCTTACTGGATACAGGAGCATCGGAACTTTGATTGCTCAAAACTCATGCTAAGAAATTACACATGAAAATCTTGGGGGCGCGCTCCAAACAATGTGGACTACCCCAGCAGGAGAATTAAACACCAGCACGAAATGCAAGGGTGCTTTATGATTCCTGAGTTCCATGACGATAGGATTATCGAATGGGATTTAACGTCACCAAGAGCTTGGGGGCGTATGACATGATCATAGGTCGAACATTCTCTCCGACTAGAGATTTAATGTCGATTTCACTACATGTCAGTGAATGGGACGGCAATCTATTCCTATGAAAGATAGTGTCAAATAAGGAAGAGAACTTCTTCATTCTGATCCTACACGCTGCCATGACAGTGCAGATGTCTCAAGAAGATTCTTGATGCGAAATACGAACAAGCTGACCTTAAGGCAGGTTGCCAAAGTCAAGATAAGTTAAATAAGGAAGAGCAGGAACAGCTCCATGCCTTATTGACCAAGTCTCCGACTAATTCGATGGTACTTTAGGAAAGTGCAGATGGATGACTACGAAGTAGAACTTCTCCCTATATCTAAACCCTATCAGCTAAGGCTTATCCTATCCACGTGTCATATCCAACACCTCTTAAGATAGAGGTTGAACGTCTCTGCGAGGCAGGAGTACTCAAGAAGGTAACCGTTCCGAGTGGGTGGCACCAACATTTATCATTCCCAAGAAGGATGGATCTGTACGGTTCATCTCTGCTTCCGGGAACTGAACAAAAGGATAAGCGAAACCTTCCTATCCCAAAATACAAGACATGCTACTGAACTAGACGGATTCAAAGTACACTACTAGTCTGACTGAAAATGGGATACTATCACATCGACTGTCACCTCACTCGAACAACACTATGTCTTCATGGGGAAATACGATACCAGAGTTGGCAATGGGCCTATGAATAGTCCCGACATCTTCCAAGAAGATGGGAACACTATGCACGACTGAATACGTCCGTGCATACATTGATGATCTACTCAACCTAACAACGGCGATCTAGCAGATCACGTTGAAAAGTTAGATGAAGTTCTCCGAAGCTTCGAGAAGCCAGATTAAGATCAATGCTACCAGTCCTTCTTCACAAGAGGAGAACTTGATTTAGGCTATGGATTACTCGAGAAGGAATCCAACCTAAACAAGAAAATAGATGCGATCCAGAATATCGCTCTCCTACAAAGGAAGAACTTCGTAGATTCATTGACTAGTGAACTACTATCGAGACATGTGGATCAGACGAAACATGTACTAGCACCATCGCTACACTTACTTCCAAAACTATGAAGTGGAAATGGGAAGCTGAAAACGACGAGGCCTTTCGCAAGATGAAGAAAATCATCAGCAAAGAACCTTGCTCGCCTACCTGACTTCAACGAACATTCGTTATCCACACGGATGCAAGTGATACGCACTGGGTGCAGTGATTTTCCAGAAGGGAAAGCCTATCGCGTTCTACAGCAGGAAACTCAATCCCCTCAAACACGCTAACGGTAACGAGAAGGAACTTTCAGATCATTGAGACTCTCAAGGAGTTCCGTAACATTTTTCGGGCAGAAGTTAGTACTACGGACCACAAGAATCTCACCTGCAAGAATTCAATACCGATCGGCTATGCGATGGCGCCTTATTCTGGAGGAATATGGCCCCGAACTTTGGTACATCAAGGGGAACACAACATCGTCGCTGATGCGTTGTCGAGACTTACAATCTCAACAACGAGGTTCTTCAGAACAATGGAAGCCAGGGATTGCTGAGCTCATGGCGCACGAAGAGGACTTCGCTAGTGATTCCCTCTCTTTCCCGAGATCGAACCGCAAGGACGAAACGAAATCAAAAACTCCTCAGGACAAACCAAACGACACAAAACAATCTTTCCCAGAGGGGACAGTCCTATGAACTAGTAGTCAAGGACGACAAGATTGTTGTGCCTAAGGCCATGCAGAAGAAGCTGTCGAATGGTATCATGGTGTTGATCATCCTGGCGAGACTCACACAGAACTTACCATCAGTCAACACTACCTGGAAGGGTTGCGCAAGACTGTGCAGCCGTATGCAGCGTTGCCAAAGCTGCCAAATGAACAAACCCAAAACGGTAAGCTGGGATTGCTTCCTCCAAACTCTTGCGAGGAGATCCTTGGGAAAGACTATGTAATGACCTGATAGGTCCATAAAACTCGGGATCCTAATGCACTAAGAAAAGAATTCCTGTACACTTCATTGCCAACAATGATTGATCCCGTAACCGGATGGTTCGAGATTGTAGAGATCGCTCCAAAGCAGCAGACGGTAGCCTCATTCTAGAACAGACGTGGCTTACTCGGATCATGGCCTGATGAGGTTATATGGATAGAGGACGCTAGTTCCGCGCAGAAGTCGAGAAGACTCTCCGGGATGAATATGGACTTCGTCACAAGTTCATTACCACACGTAACCCTCAAGCCAACTCGATGGTCGAGCGTGCTCATCAGACCATTCGTAACTTGATAGCTGTTCAGAATATCAAGTGTCAAGACGACCTCGTGAATGGATCCTAGGATGGAGTCCTCACGGCAGTTCGGTTCGCAATGACTGCCACGATTCACACCACCTTGCGTGCAACGCCTGCAAAGCTCGTGTTCAATCGTGACGCGATTCA